GGAATCTTGTGAAGAAAGGTGACATTGTGATCGAGTATATTAATACAAAATCAATGCTAGCTGATCCTTTAACCAATGGACTAAGACTTATAACTTTTAAGAAACATGTTCACAACATAGACATTTTGAAGTCTTTTGATGTACTTAGTTAATAAGAGTTTATTTATGTATTAAGAACTTTAGTATTGATTTAATTCTACATGTGATATTTGATACTCATTATGGTTTAGATACATCTATTTGATGAATAATAAATATTTGGATGATTATCCTTATTGTTAACATGATACTCTTGCTATGTTATATGTGTGCACATTTATGACATGTCATTTTATACAAAATCTTAAGACTTAGTATATGTCTTAAATATGACTGTTTTGTCAATGGAGCATGTCTTCAATTATACCATTTGAGAAAATGTTGAGATTTTAAGTTTGAAGACATATCAGCTTATTGTTGAAACTAATGGATTTCTCGAACTTATTGTTGAAGTATGTTGTGAAAGAGAAATCATTTGGAAGACTAACAATAAAAATAACATGTTTATTAGATAACATATTGAGATGTTATTTTCTTATTACATTACCACATCTTGATTTATGTCAATAGGATTATTATTTTTTGTAATCATGGATTGGTCCTATGTTAATAAATGATGTAAAAACCATCATAGTTTGAAAATAGTAGTTTTATTGGATTGGGTTGTATTTGAGATGTTGTCTCAGGACTATATTTTTATTGTGGTCATATTGAGTTTTGTTTGATTAGCCCAAGAGTCATTTTTCAAACAAATAATTTTATTTTATTTAGTTTTTTTAAATAACTACGATTAATGTTGTCCAAGTGGGAGAATGTTGGAATTTTTCTATATTGGACTTCCATTAATTGATAGTTAATTTTTAGTTTGTGAAAAACGGACTGAATTTATGATTTAATGAGATGAGCCAAATATTATTAAGTGATTTATTTTGATAAGTTTATGTACATCTTTTAATTAATATAGTTGAGGTGGTTAAGTGTAGATCTTAGGTGGTGTTTAATTAAAGTGAAAATTGAAGTCTGAAAGCTAAAAACTGAAGTCTGAAAACTAAAAGCTGAATGCTGATTTTGTGGATAATTTGGTATTCATTGAAATTTAAGTACTGAATTGAACTAAGTTGTTTGATAACTACACAAAACTGACGTCTAAAAATAAATTAATTTTCAATTTTACCCTTCCACTCTTTAATTTGAAAATATTTATAAAATATGTCATAACATAAATCATAATCACTATAATTATTTTGTAATCTACATTTAACAAATATTTGATCAAAATAAATAAATAAATAATATCTGAATAACACAATAAATGAACAATAACAAATTGAATAACACAATAAGTGAACAATAACATCTGATAAAAAAAAAAAGAATAATAACTAATAAATAATATTTAAAAAATACAATAAATTAAATTTCATTAATAATACGTGTGTGCGCCGTGTGTGTGTGTGCAATGCTTGCGTTTGTGTGTGTAATTATAATTATGTATGTATATTTTTGTTACAGAAGACTAGGGGAAAAAAAAAGAGATTGACAAGGAGGGTATATAAGTTAGGGGTTTTGAAGAGAAGACTAATTAGAGTTTTAATAGGATTGTAAAATATTTCGGGATATAATTGTCATATTGTAAATATTATTAAAGATGATTTTGCTGAACGTTTTTAACTTTTAGAATTAAGTAAGAGACCTCTTACTTAATATTGTAGTCTATTTTTAAGGATCACTTAACATATTAGGAGAGTTTAACTTTTGGTTATCAAACAGGCTTAAATAACAAGTGCTGAATACATTCATTTTAAGTGCTGAATTTAGGTTAACAAATACACCCTTAATCTAATTGTGGCCTGTGACGAGAGAGCTCATTAAATTTATTATAAATAGCAGGGTAGGTCCTCTCTCCACTTCATAACCCTAATTTGACTTATCCTATTGAGAACCGCCTGTTGCTTTGAAGAAGGAATGAAGATCTTGCCCTTCAACGAAAGAAATCCAGAGATCAAGTTTCATGGCTCACATAGGTATGGTCTAAACCTATATGATCTAAATCTTATAATTTAGGGGTCGTTTGACAACCGAGAGTTTACGTTTTTTTTTGTTTTTATTTTTCACTTTTTGCAAAAAAAAAAAAAAACCAACAACATGTTGGTGATGTGTTTCTGTTTTTTTAAGCCACATTGCTTTGAAAACACAGTCAAACTCTGTAAACATAAAAAATGACTTTTTGAAAACATCAAAAACTAAAAACACGCACGATTTTTTGTATAACAGTTAATATAAGGTTTAGCCTTTGAATCTCATTAATAACAAAATCAGATTTTTTTTGGGCCACCATAAAAACCCCTTTTTTCCTCCTTCTTTTTTTTTTTTTTTTTTGTCCCTTCGTCTCTTTCCCTCATTTGTCTGAATCTGTCTCTCTCTTGCTTGTTCTCTCTCCTGAAACCTATGACGAAGAGGTCGACGACGAAATCAAACACGAAGATGAAATCGAAGACGAAATCAGTGGGTTTCAGGGGGTGGTGGGTGATGGATTTCGGGGGTGGGGGTGGGTTTGGGTGGTTTCTGGGTGGGTTTTTGGGGGTGGGAGGTTTCAGGTTAGGTTTTCGGGGTTTTAGGGTGGGTTTTGGGGGGGGGGGGGGTGGCAAGGGGTTTTCAGGGTGTTTGGGGGTGGGTTTTCGGGGTGGTGGTGGGTTTCAGGTGGTTTGGAGGTGGTGGGTGGTGGGTCTCATGGGTGAGTTTGGGTGGTTTCAGTGTGGGTTTTTGGGGGTGGGGGGTTTCAGGGTTTCTTGACACAGTAAGAGGATAATGAAACAAAGGAAGAGAAAGAAGTCACAGCAGAGATATTCAACAACCTTCTCCTTTTGCATCTGATCTATCTAAATTCATCCAACTTAGGTGCCTCCACTCCACCTCAAAGCTTCTTTCAATATCTCCTTCCTTAGTTGACCATAATGTTGATCTTGCTCTCTCACCGTCTCTCTCTCTTGGTAATGGGGGCTATCTTTTCTTCCATTTCAATTGTTTCTTTTTACTCATGATTCTGCAAACTTCGTCTAAAATTGATGATTCACTGTCACAAACCTGAATCATCGTCTGAAATTTGATGATTCACTGTCACAGACCTTACAGTAATAAAAACCTTCTATTCATATTTTTGAAAATATGCATATTTGTATCATGAACCCTAAATCCTTAAATTCTATCATGAAACTAACATTTGACGTTGGGTGGTGGCGTTCGATGGTGGTTTTGGGTGGACAGTGGGGTTGGGTTGAGTTTTGTGGTAAATTTTTGGTATAATACCAAACAGGTTTTTTATTTTTGTTTTTATAATTTTTAAAATATAAAATGACTACCAAACGTGTTTTATATTTTTAATTTTTATTATAACAAAAACAAAACTTAGTTCTGTTATTTTTTATTAAAAAAAAAAACATAAAAAATAAAAACGTTACCAAACGCACCCTTAGGTATTCTAAATTTCATATACAAATTCTTAAAATTTTTACACACCAACATACCCACAATTTATTTGCTGCTATTCAACGTTGTAGACTTCAAAATATCTTATCCACGGGTAGTTTAGGTAGGTGGTAACATAGACAAGTTATAAATTTAAACATCCTTAATTTGAATATTGACAATCTCTTGAACCAGACCATAAGAGATTTATTTTTCATGAATACCCTAATCTCAAAAGTTGATAGTTTGCCTTTGACTAAATAAAAAAAAAATTAATTAAAATACATATAAATTGACCCGAATACTTCCATAAACAAAAGAAAAAAAAAAAGGACTTCAAAATATCTGGTCTTTCTTCAAAAACAAAATAAAGAATTGCGCCAAAAAGATCGTGGAAGTGGACATATAATACATAGCTATTATATGGACTATCCAGAGTGCTATATGGCTGCTGAGCTTTGCCCCTTCGCCATGCATTCTCGAGTTTACTAGGGCCTACGTGGAAATCTAACCCGTCGCGATCACTCATGCTTTCCTCGTCTCAAGCGCATCACTCGTTTTAAAATCCTTAGAGCTATTCTAACCCACCCTTTATTTCTCTTTTTCTTAATTATTTTACTTAATCAAACACTACTGAAGTTCTCTAATTCACTCTTTATTTGCCATTTCACTCATATCACTCTTCAAATTTGGAGAGTCAGTCTCTCCCTCTCTCTCTCTCTCTCTATATATATATATATGTTGTAATCCCTTTCTAATTATTAAAAATTAATTTAAGTAATTAATTAAAATAGAGAACGTGATTAGAGTAAACTTGTAAAATTGACTCTCTAAAATAAAGAATATAATATTTAAACATATTTTAAGTAATTAAAATAGAGAATTAGGTTAGAGTTGCTCTAAGTTGACCTAATGCTCGTAATTTATGTGTGATTATGCAAATCTAACATTAACTTTGTAACAATAGTCCAAAGAATTTAAGGGTAACATATATAAAAAAATTTTATTTTTTATTTTTTGTTAAGGAGTATCTAAATTTATGTTGATTACTTTATCAAATTCAGCAATTTGACTACCATGCATGACTTGAATCGGTCCAGACTATTTCCCCGAGCGGTGAGGCTAGGAATGGGGGTAAAAAGAAGACTTCAATTGAGTGTATTCCACGGGGGTGACGACTAGTACCAATATAAATGAATCTTTACACCAAAATTTTCAGGCTATTTCTAAAAAGTGCGTCATGTCGAAGAAAGTTCCATCATTCAAACACGATCGTACTCATGAGTGTAAAATAATGAATTTACATCCTGTAGACTGGGTTATAAATAGAAAAACATTTCGAAAGATTCTGTGATCATATGAGATCATTCCTGAGATACTCAGTGTAGTCCGAGTCTTCCTCGGTTCACCCGTTGAAGACTTAGAACTCACCTCTTTGTTCGAATCACTGACAGTCTAGGCCTTCGAATTATTTTTTAAAAAAAAAAAAGACTTGAATGACTTACTTTGATCTAAGATATGCTCTCCCATATGTTATTAACATTCTGAAATCACAGGTTGCCATGCCCTGGGATTGGGATTCATTTGATATTATGGGTCATCTCACTTGGGTGAAGTTTTCGTTTGTCTTCATTCTCTTCATCACCTTCTCCTCCATCTCCATCGGCTTACCTCTAACTTGTCCGGTGGGCTATATACGTGTCCAAAGACAAGATTTCTCGGCCATGTTCACTGTTTCATTCTTGGTCTCACTTTTATGCCCACAAGTTCTTTTCTGGTCCATTTATCCCATCATCTTGTTACTTTTTGCATGTTCTTCATGTCTTCTCAATATATTCAGGAGCCTTCTGTCGTGCATAAGAGAGTTCCTCTCCACTGTTCCTGATTTGAACATATTTATAACTGCGACAAACACTGATGTGGCCAACCCAGAAGCTCAACAGGTGAACCAGGGAGATATGGGGATTGATGAAGCAGATGTGGAAGCACAAGTGTAGGCAAATATATATATATATGTATATTTGTATATAGTGATGAATGAACTTATCATTCCTGGGTTGTGCAGTATTGGTAATGTTGTTGTAAAGGTTGTTTGCGTTGTATTTTTTCCTATTTTCTTTGTTTGTTTATGTACATTAATTCTTTTTCCAATCCTTTAATTTTTGGTGCTTTTTTTTGGTTTGTTTTCAAGTGTATTCTATGTGCAGTTATCATGCTTTTGTACTCCTATGATATTGTCTTTATGCAGAAAATAGTTTTGAGTGTATATTCTATTTCTATGTGCAGCTATCATGCTTTTGTGCGTATCTTCGCCACTGTCTTTTCCTTCTTCACCGTCATCATCCTCGATACCTCTTCTTGGCCTTCTTCTTCACTGTTTTTCACCACCTTCCTCACAAGAGGCCTGATATATTTCTATTCCTAAAATGAAAAAAAGAAAATCAACCTTCCAACTATCCCTCCCTTAATAAACACAAGAGCCATATACGACCAAAGCAAAAATTAAAAAAAAAAACACACAACTTACACAAAGTTCTTTAAAAAAAAAAAAAAAAAAGCAAAACTGAATGTATTTGCAAAAAACTTCATCAAACAGAACGTTAATTTCGAATGAATATTTCCATGTTCCTCCCTTGACTGATAAATATTTTTCCTGGTAATATTTGCCAATTCTGTAAATCTTTAAATCTCTTTCTTTCTTTTTTTTGATTCAACGGTTAAGAGTGTTTAGACTAACTTACGAGCACCAAACACCGACTTTTAAATCTCCTTCCACTTGCGTAGTTTGCGACAAAAGCATGCTATTTTGAATCAGGCACCTGAAATAAAAAAGAACAGCCACAACCTATCACTAGCAAGCTTTACTAGCCATGAATAAGCTTTTTTTGGTGCCATTTTCTATGTCTTGGGATCTTCTTACTATAAGTCTCTTGGTGAAATGGTGCAAAGGAAGAAGGATGTCTAATGAACCAAAGGCAATGCTGCTCAAACAAAATGGCTAGGATATTGTCTTCATATGTTACTTTTAGCAGTGCAAATAAACCAAACCGAATCGAGGAATAACCAACATTCGTTAGCACGGAAGTCCATTAGACTATGGGTCGTGGCGATGTTTTTGCCATATAGGACCGATGGACTAGCCCAGTTAAAGCCTGCTAAGGATGCCCAACAGGTATAATTATGGCCCATCCCATTGCCATGTTGTCTTTGATGGACGCTCAAAACATGGCCATTGACCAATCGTCTTCACAATTTCCAAACCTCATTACATTATCGTCACTCTAATAAACAGTCAATTTGAGTTGGGAAAACATTTGTTTGGACTTCTCCTCTTCACTTCCATTAAACTCCCTCTTAATTTTAATGTTTTGTCTAGTATGATAAAAAATTGAAATGATAAGGATGAAAAATACAAAAGATGAACCTTCCTTCGTTTTTTGGTAAGAAAAAAGGGGGTTACAATGGGCAAGTCCGAGGTGGAACTCGTACTTGACTTTGATTGTAGTAGTCCAAACCCACGAGTGAAGCCCATCAATGGAGCCTAGACGGAGGAAAATCACAGGCTCTCCCAGAGCCAACTCGAGCTATAGTGTAAACCTCTCACAACAGAACTATCAATGGGAGCAATGAGAGTTTCCGTAAATCGAATTATGCTTACTAGGCACTACAAGCACTAGGACCACCGGCCCAGAGGTGAATAGCATTCTTTGTAACTCATCAAAATCTATCTATCTAATATTGAGAGGAAAAGTTGATTAATATTTAATCTATGTTTGTACATCTTTTTATTTATTTATTTATTATATATTATATATTATATACACATTAATTTCATATATAAATATAATAGTAAAATATGTTTTTAAATTTTTTACCAATGTTTTTGCCATCTCGGACCGATGGACTAGCCCAATTAAAGCCTGCTAAGGATGCCCAACAGGTATAATTATGACCCGTCCCATTGGCTTATCAAAATTTAATAAAAAAGTCAAAAATTTGGGAAAATTTTATATAAAGAAAAAACCATTAAGGACATAATGTGGGTTGTCTATGATGGACACTCATAACATGGCCATTGACCAATCATCTTCACAATTTCCAGACCTTATTACATTATCGTCACTCTTATAAGTAGTCAATTTGAGTTGGGAAAACAATTGTTTGGATTTCTCCTCTTCACTTCCATTAACCTCTCTCTTAATTTTGATGGGTCAAACCCAAGGGCCTAGTTCAAATTATAAGCTCAGTCCGAGTTTATAACCCATCTCTAAGAAATTCAGCAAATCCAGCTCAATGGGTCAACCCGAACAAGCTTATCAAGAATCAAGAAGCTATTTCAGTAAAGAGTATGTAAGTTCATCCAAGAACCTCTTAAACACCTTGGAGTAAGAGTCATGCAAGAATCTCCTCTACCACCTTGAAGTAATGGTCATCCAGGAGGCTCCTCCTTGCCACCTTGGAGTAAGGGTTTTCTAGGAGCCTCCTCCTCACCACCTTTGAGTAAAGGTCATCTAGGAGCTTTCTCCTCGCCGCTTTAAAAAGAGTCAATTCTCACCTCATCTTTTGACCGAGTCTCATGGAGAGCACAATCCCCTCACCTGTTGAGAAAAAGTCGTCAACTCCACCAGAATAGTTATTTAGTTGCTATTAAGTCACTCCAATCTATTAGAGAGATGACTATAAATTGTAAGCCCCGCCAACACTTGGGGGACACATGACACCCTGTTGAGCAGATCACACTCTATTGAGCACGACTCTCTCCTCTCCCTCTGAATCTGTAACTTTTTGCTCTCCTACATACTTGAGTTAATAAAATACCTAGCAACCCCAGTCATTCAAAAAATGGATGTAGGTCACCTTGACTGAAACACTATAATTCTTGTCTTCTCTCTTTACTAATTAATTATTGTGTTTATTATTCATACTTGACAAGCGGTGTACAAATTCAATTTGTGTATTATCAAATTTTAATATTTTGTCTGGTATGATAAAAAAATAAAATGATAAAAATTTGAAATGATAAGGAAGAAAACTTCCTTTGTTTTTTGGTAAGAAAAAAGGTTTGAACGGGCAACCGAGGTGGAACTCCTACTGGAATTTGATTATAGTAGCCCAAACCCACGAGTGGAGCCCATCAATGGGGCCTAGACGGAGGAAAATCACAGGCTCTCCCAGAGCCAACTTGAGCTATTGTTTAAACCCCACACAACAGAAATATCAATGGGAGCAATGAGGGTTCCCATAAATCGAACTATGCTTACTAGGCACTACAAGCACCTGGAGCACCGGCCTGGAGGTGAATAGCATTCTTTGTAACTCATCAAAATCTCTCTCTCTAATATTGAGACGAAAAGTTGATTAATATTTAATTTTTATTTATTATATATTATGTACACATTAATTTTTTTTTAAATTTTTGATTTTTGAATTTCTAATGTTATGAATTGAATTATAGGTTCAAATTATTGAAATTATAATTTTTTGATTGGGCTTAAATTTTTTTGGGCCTTTTTGTAAGACCTAAAATTTTCATAGATTTAAATTTTTTATGTTGACTAATTTTATAACTAAAATTATGCGCTTTTCAAAAATTTAGAGTTTAAAGCCCATGTATTTTTTTTAATGCTGTTGGGCCGGGCCGGGTATTTTTACAGATTTTTGTGACAAACATCTATTTTTGTAGGGGGTATGTAAATATCCAAAAATTCAACATCGACTCTGCCTTCGTTAGAAATCAATTACAGACTCTGATCGAAGTCGAAGTTGGAGTTTGAGTCGGAATCAGAATCGGAGTCGAAATCGGCAAAAAATTACAGACTTCGATCGGAGTTGGCGTTGGAGTCTGAAGGCCTATTCGAAAAAATTCGGACTCCGACTCCAATTTTTAATAGTTAATAATTTTATATAAATTATAAATTATATTATTACATACAAATATAAAATATTAAAATATAAAAAAAACTCATCTAATTTTGACCCATATTAAATTATAAATTATATGATTACATATCTATATTTTACTTATAAATGTCAGCATCTGCAAAAAATTTTTAATTTCTTATTTTACCCCTAATTATTATGATAAAGCCAATTATACCCACTTATATATTTTCATCTAATTTTTTTTTTATACTTTCATTTAATTTTTATTTTTTTTACTCCTATTTGACTTTCAATTTATTTTGGACTCTATTGTAAAGACTTCTAAATTCTTTTGAACTCATTTAGTAGTAGTATAATTATATACAATTTTTTAGATTTATATGAAAAAATAAAGTCCTATATATATTAAATTATTATACACATGAAAGTTCAACATCTGTGAAAAAATTTTAATTTTCTATATTACTCATAATTATTATGATAAAGTTAATTATACCTACTTATATACTTTCATCTATTTTTTATTTTTTACTCCTATTTGACCTTCAATTTTTTTTGGACTTTTTTGTAAGTACATCTAAATTCTTTTAAACTCATTTATTAGTAGTACAATTATATACAATTTTTTAGATTTATATGAAAAAATAAAGTCCTATATATGTTAAATTATTATACAAATGAAGTTACCAAATTAAATTTCACAGTCAAATATATGTTATATTTTATTTGGTATGTAATAATATAATAATATTATAAGTGAACTAATCAATCTATTTAACAAAATAAAAATTAATAATTCTATAATATAATTAAATATACAAATGTCTAAAGGAATTGAAGAGATATCTTAATAATTGAAATACAGATTAAATATTCAGTACTTAATTTATTATTTAATTTAATTATACATATAATTCACGTTTTTTATAAAAAAATATTTAAATTTATATACGTGCGTGCATTGCTATTAATTATAAAACATTAAAATATAAGACAACCTCCTAACCTTAAATTCTAATGTCTTCCTCTTTCTCTTCCGTCTTCTCTACGCCTCCACAGACCAGAACCACTGCCTGCCTCCATTGCTCTACGACGTAAAAACCACAACTCCACA